AAGAGTATAAACTAATTAAATTTTAAATATAGAAGAAATTAAATTATCTTCTATAGATTCAATTATTTATCTCTCTTTTAAATAAAATAACAGTTACATTCTCTTTTTTTCTTCTCAATCAAATGAAACATAATCTGTGAAAAGTGAGTATTATATCAGATTATAATAATTAACATAGTCTCAGTATACAGAACTATATACACACAGTACATACTAAACTAAGAGACTATATAAGTTGCAAATCAGCAGCAGCATCTCAGAGAGAGTCATACAGTATAAGAAAGCTATAACTCTCAGTTATATATACAGAGAGTGAATTACTGCAGTAAGTATATATATTATTATTATTATTATTCTTCTTCTATTATACTCATATACAAGCAGAGCTTATAATAAGTTCTTGTATAATGTTAAATACCGGTCAAGTGTTAATTATACAGAAGGAAATACAGGTATTAAAATTATATCAAGATAACAAGAACATAAAAAAATACAAAGAAGTGATGATTAGATACATGTGATAATAACTTTTCAGCTTAGAAACATAGAGTGATTCATTGAAGTGATTTATATATCTCTGTATTTATTAGAAATCTGAGGTGCTTGAGTTCTGAATTTAATATATTCTCTGCGGGTTTCGAACTCACGCGCCTTGGTTTTTCATGCTAAGACACTACTGAGTGACCGTATTAATCATTCAGCCACTGAGGTAGTAAGTATATATACATTGTATAAAAGTAATACTTTTTAATAATACTCAGTCTCTGATATTATGAAAATAGAGTCTCTTTATAAGATTCATTTTTATCAGAAGTCAGAGAATCTTATATTTTTAAAACTATCTTTATATATCTTATCTATGAAATTAATGAGAGAAATTATTAATTTCAGTATTTTATTCTTAGTATTATTTAAGTGATAGCAGAGTTTACTCTAATTATACTTTTTAAGTGTATATTTTTTAATTATTCATACTTATACAGATATATACTGATTATTTATTAAATAATGTTAAAATAATAATTTATTACAGCTGTATTACTCTTACTATAAGAGATATATAGTTAATAATAAATATTATAAAGACTCTGAAAAATAAGTATTTTAAAAATACTGCAGCTCTGTAATCTTGATTTTTTTTATTTTTATTTTTTATTTTTTTATTTTGATTTTATTTTTATTTTTTTCTTTCTCTTTTTTTTATTGTGATTTTTTCTTGTTTTATTTTATTTTTTATTTTTTTTATTTTCTTTA